GATATCTGTTGGAGGTTCTGAGGACCCAGGGTGTGGCTCAGTGGCAGAGCATTTGCCTCAAATGCATGAGGCCTTGGGTACCATCCCCAAAAGCTTTGAGACACAAAGCTTTGAGAACACAAAATGTTCTAGAAAAACAACCATCTCTGTAGTGTTTATAATCCTCAATGCAGAGGGTTTGAAGGGATTAGGGTTCAAAGACTTAGCAGAGGGGAACATTTTTCCTCAGGGCTGATTGAGGGTTTCCTGCCAGCCACTCTACCTAACAATTTTGGTATTTATAGAGAACGGAGGCCCACAGAGCTGGCAAAGGCAGGTAGCCCCAGGCTCTAACGGGACTCTTCCTTCAACAAAGCTGAGGCAGAGTTCCCCAGCTGGCAGAGCTCACCTGTGCCCCCCAGAGCCCCTCCTATTCCAATTCTGAGAGTTCGGCACAGGTACACCCTTGTTGACCGCAAGAATGAAAATTGGGGTGAAGTGTTTTCAGAACGCTGACTGATATCCAAGAACATGAAATTAGGATAAGGGGCTTTCTGGTTTGAAGATATGAAAGAAACGGTCCTTCTGTTTGAAATCAAATGATTCAAATGCTGAGGTGGGGGACGTTTGGCATCTGTCTTCAAAGAAAAACTGTGACCTGCTTTTTTTATTTTTTCCCTTGAAATTACCAAGGCTTTGATAGAGACAAAAAGAAGAACCTGTAGGTGGAATGTGTCCCATGGAGCAACAGCAGCTGTGGGAAGGGGCCACCTGTCCTCTTTTATCGCTTTAGCTCATAACAGAATGCAGGCCTTCCCTGCTCCAAGGGAAGAAGGGTCCCCAGCAATACTCACGTACAGTAGGCGGCCAACAGAAATACGCATACTGTGACAGCCTGTGGGACACACAGAGGCAGGTTCCATGCCACACTTCACATCAGCTCACTGGCATTTTATTTTAGGCTCCTAAACCTTCTTTGCTAATTAAAGCCATTTGCTTGGGAATCTCAGCCCCTTTAATCCTAAAGTGCTCCTGAAATGTTCTGGAAATCCCCAACTCATTTATTTTCCAAATGGGTCGTCTGGGTGTGATGGTACTCAAGGATTCCTTACCCCTCTCCTCACACGTTTACACCCTGAATGATGGTCAGGGGTCAGAGGACGAGCCAAAACCACCTGTAACTTCAGGTCTCAGCTCTGCCATTTACTGAGTGAACATCACTGACCCCAGGTCACCGCCCTCTGCTTAAATTCCCAGGAGTAGCAACGGCCTCTCTCACCATGCTGAGTGCCATGCCTGCAGCTAGGCAATCCATCAGTGCCTAATGCTAATAACGTGAGCCATCACCGTCATAGTCCAGCTGCAGGGAATCCATCTGGATTAAAACAGTAAACTGGGCTTCCTTAGCGGCAGTGGAATCCTGGCAAGGCATATCTGTGCTCTGTTTTCTTCCTATGCTAGAGGTTTCAAACTTGATGCCCACTCCGCCTTTGACTTTAAAGTAAGCACGGCAAAGGAGCCGCTCCTCGGGTGTGGTATCACCGGCGACAGTGACTCTCTGTCTGGTTTCCTAACACTGGCCAGGGGGGCTGTTAGCAGCCGGTGTCTTTTCCTAGGAAAGTAGACGATGGTGCCTAACTTTGAACTTGGTTCAATCCTATCTCTTGATTTTTGTCTGGATCAAGAAATGAGCAGGGAAAATCAAACTGGCCCAGATGTTGGCTGTGTTGCCCCCATGACTTATTTCAATCTGCAGAAACCATTCCCGCTGCACCCGAGCCTTGCCCTGACCCAGAAGCGCAAGGTTTTCTAGGCATGCGCACCACGCTCAGTGGCGGCCGATCACGTCATGGATGGGGGCTTCAGCCCAGCCCAGCTACTTCTCAGTGGACCATTTCTCATGCTTCTAGAAATCTCTTTTGCATCTGTGTATGATTCTGGCTTTCTTGTGGGAATATGAGAAGTCGCCATCTTCAGTTTCTTCCTCTTTCAAAGAGCAGAACTTCCTCTTGTTTGTCCTAGAAGAATCCCCTCTGCCGTGAGCCGCTTCCGGTGAGCATTCCTTTCCCCAGTGCTGGTGGGGACTTGCTGATTTTGACCATGGGTCTCTCAGTGTTTGCCATCCCAGGCTCCGGCTTCCTCTGCTCAGAGTCAGAGAAAAGTAGGCTAAGTGTCTGGTTCTAGCACCTTCTAGCCATGTGCTGTCTGCATGTCTAGTTTCCGAATCTGAAAGACTATAATCACAGGGTACACAGTGGTGTGAGGTTTGGCAAAATAACGAGGAGCCCTTTCTCTTCAACGAGAGTGTAGGGTCTGGTGGTTGCCCCAAAGTCAGTTTACAGGGGAAGTGAAGAATCCAAGCAGGATGGAAATCAGCCAGTTCAGGAAAAGACTGCTGAAAGATCTAGAACATCTGCATGTATGTATTATATGGGGGATGGGTACCATAGCACATTCCTCCAGCCCTGTAGCCAGGCCTGCTGCTCTGAACCCAGCCACTCTCAACCAGGGGTCCTCCAGCCTGGCCTCAGGGTAAAATACTTATCTAGCCCTGTAGGGGACACCCTTCTGGTGTCTGCTTTTCCTGGGCTATAGTCAGCTCTGCTGTTGTTACCTCTGACTGGTAGCCTTGGCTGGACAGTCCTGCTAAGATGTCATGTTGAAACCATTGGGAAGTTACTTGTGCTACTCGAGGAAGTGATGGGAGGGCTATAAAGGACGTCAGCTTTACAAGTGGCAAACCCAGCATCTGGGGGAAAGTGAAGAGCCATGCATAGCCTCGTGGGACCCTAGACACACAATTCAGGCCAATTAGGGCTGCTCCTCAAGGCCGCTCAGGGCCTGCAACCCTGGAGCTCCCCCACTCCAACTCCCAAAGTCACTGCAGATGGTGTCTGCCCGGACTTCTGAACCCCCTGTGGATTGAAGCAGGGATTTCCTCATCCCATGATTGCTATTCCAGACTCTTTCTGTGAGCTGCGCCGGGCTCTGGGCCCGATTAGCGGGCCTGTGGTCTCTCCTTCAGAGCCTCCCCAGACAGCAGTGATGTCTGCAAGGTGAGCGTCCGGTCTCCAGCATGGAGGGGCCTCCCATCAGCTTCGTGGCAACAGGAACCAAGTAGCTTTGAAACTCCAGCCGCTAGCAAGAGCCTGGTGCAGGGCTGTGCCCAACCAGAACATTTGCTTTTCCTATCAGCCCCAGAGCTAATCAGAGACGGCACCTGCGAGAGATGACTCCAGTGGGGACGGGGCCTGCCCTGCCCGCTGTGAGACAGCCCTTTTTTGGATGTTGCCCAATACCCTTCACCCACCTTTTCTACCTGGCTGTATATATTTTTTTAAGCTTTCCTTCTGTCTCTTGATATTTTATCGAGTTGTTAGAAAGAGAAGAGGGAGGCAGTGGAAAGGGTGTGTGTGTGATGGTTCACACCTGTAATCCTAGCCCCCAGCTAAAGCAGGAAGAGTAGTATGAGTTTGGGGCCAGCCTGGGCTACACAATGACAGCCTCTTTAAAAAGAGAAGTAATGCTCTTCCAGAACACTCAAGATCAGTTGCCAGCTCCTGCAGCCACAGGCACATGCGCGCACACATCTTTTAATTTGAAAGAAGAAACAGAGGAAAAGCAAGCTCAGAGGCTCGGCTTTGGGGAAGACATTGGGGACCCAGATCTCCTTGTAAATTACTGTGATAAACTAGACGAGATGTCACCCCTACCCAGTGAGGAGATGGTACCCCAGCAAAGCCCGTCTTTGGTCAGCTGCCTGCCAGGCCTTGACACGGCGAGCTAAGGAAAGTGCACGGCACATAGCAGAGCCCTCCCCAGCATTCCCACGGCAGGAACTGCTTGTCTGTGGATCTGAGTGCACTCCGAGGTGCTCTAGGTGGCCACACACACTTTTACGGGTCCCAGACAAGGACAGTTTCCTAGTTTGCAATGTGCTTTGCACTTGACTTCTAAAACAGGAATGTAAGCTCATGAGTGTGTCAGTGTTTGGTGTGTTTTCATGACTTGTTGAGTTGAGAATTAAAGATGCACTTTATTTTCTAAGATTTTTTTTTAATTATTATTATATGTCAGTAGTTTGAGTGGGCCACCTTTGTAATTCAGAAATCTGTTATACTTCTGATAAAGTTTCAAAAGCGATTATATCACTGTAGTTAAAGCAAAGGGTTGTTTTGTTTCTCTAAATAAACTACTGTTCAGCTGTTGGAACATGGACTGTCATTGCTCTTCCTTCGTCCTCTGAGGCCTCTGGCCTGAGGAGGACAAAGGGCATCAGGAAGCACACATTCTAGGTGGCAGATAGGTGGTTGTGTGGAGAGCCAGGGTGGGCTGGGGATGAGGCCAAACCGGAGAGTGCTTGCCTGGTTTCAGTCTCCAGCATTGCATAAACCAGGTATGGGGTCTTTGGGATGTATTTTGAGAAGGTTATCTGCCATCTGCCATTGCTCACGATGCCTCCTTCAGAAACTCTCTCTGAACTCAGAAGCAGGAAAGTCGAGCCCATCCTGCTTGTGTGCCAGTGTGTCTCTAGCCAATGAGCATCCTTGTTTATTCTGTCCCAAGCCATAGAGCACTGCCTTCAGCAGTCCAGTGGTCACCGGGGGACCACAGTGCTGAGCTATTCCTTGGCCCCCTTTTTTGTTTTTTGAGACAATGGGATACAACTGATCTCAAAGTTGACATGACAACTATATTTGTCCTGATATTTCTCCTGATATTTGAACTCCTGATATTTCTGCCTGTACCTTCTGAGTGCTGGGATTACAGGTACATGCCACTTTGCAAAAGCAAAACAAACAAACAAACAAAATGAACCTAATTAGCTCTCTTTGAATTATACCAAAGCCTTTGGGGAAATTGTCTTATCTTAGAAGAATACCCAGACTGCTGAATGAAGACTCTGGGTGCCGGCTGGGCATTAGGAACTGAGGGGTTTGCAGCAGGCACTGGGTGGGGCAGAAGTCCCCTCCTGGGTGTGAGCTGTGCCAGGTCTGACCTGTGTCTCTTCGCCCCAGCAGACTCACCCGTGGCAGCTGCAGTGGTGTCTCATTTCAACAAGTGCCCAGATTCGCACACTCAGTTCTGCTTCCATGGAACCTGCAGGTTTTTGGTGCAGGAGGAGAAGCCAGCATGTGTGTAAGTATCCCCCAGTCTCCAGCGGGTGGGCAGGCACCCAGCTGAAAGAGCATTTACTTGTCTGAGTAAATGATATCACATAGCCATCAACCTGAGGCTCAGAGCACTGAGCAAGTTAAAGGATAAGAACTGCCAACCAGATGCCCAGACACCCAGAGTGCAAGAGGATTCCCAGGATGCCAGAGCAAATTCTGACTAGAATTTAGTTTAGTTTAGTACCTGAACCTCAATAATAATGACATTTCCATACACCAGACACTTTGTATCCAGCTTGTGAAGTAGCTGGAAGGGCATGCAGAGGGTCAGTAGCATGTCACAGCTTGCTGGCTCCCATCTCCCCGGAGCCTCACAAAGTGCTGCCAAGGGCCATGCAGGCACCAAACCTCCTTCACGCATTACATGCGAGACAACAGTGAAGGTCAGAGAGATGGTTCAGAGGGCAAGGCGCTTGCCACACAAGCCTGATGACGTGAGTTCAGATCCCCAGAACCCACATAAATAGCCAGACGCAGTAGGGTGTGTGTCTGTAATCCAGTGCTCCCCTACCTGGAGACGGGGGCAGAGACAGGAGAATTCCAGAAGCCCAGTGGCCAGCGAGGCTGGCGTATGCAGCCACAAATAAGAAAGGCCTATCTCCAACACACACTCGTGAACACAAATAAAAAGAGCCAGCGGTAACTGCCATGATCAGCAGAGTTAGGGAAGAAAGGCCCTGGAGGAAAGCCACACAGCAGATGTGGGGCTGACGAACAGACAAACAGAAAGGTGTCTGGTCCCAGAGTGCCAAGGGCTGCTGCAGGTAGGCAGGAGATGCGGCCAGGGCCTTCTGGGAGGGAGCCTTTACCCTCTGGACAGTGGGAGCCGTGCAAGTTCAGAACAGGATGTTTGCAGATGTTCATTTGTCTGTGGTGACTGTGACAGGATGGATCTGTCACAAAAGTCACCTCACCTCGTCAAGCTCTCCTGTTTCCAAGGATAGTTTGGGCATTTTACTCTGGCAGGTG